TTGTTTTGAAACATGAGAACTCTTATGTAGCGAAGGAATCATATTTTTAAACAAAAAAATATTATTATTATATATTATATATTATATATATATATATATATATATATATATATATATATATATATATATATATATATATATATATATATATATATATAATATAAAAGTGAATATTGAAGTCAACACTTAGAGGCGACAGGCTGTTTTTCTGCTTGACGCAATATCCCATAAATATACCACACCTTAAGAGTATATTTGTTCACACACGCACACACACGTATATATATATATATATATATATATATATATATATATATGGGAACGTGACCGAATCGCTAGTACATTCGCTTTCTGACCATAAGTCACGGATTCGAATCTCACCACGGTTGGTTTGTTTGGAAGTAGTGGAAGTAGTTTTCCTGTTTTTATTTCTCGGGGGGTATCTCAGGATACCACGAGTTGACCCAAGTCTTGTCAGTGAAATTGGCTAGACGGAAACTTTTTGCTAGCTGTGCTAGCACGACATCACAAGTCATCGTGGCCGATGGCTTGGCCTTGTTCAGATTGTTTATCACGTTAAATAACACGCTCTCTCCTAGAAACTGCAACTAAGGTCTGCTCAGCATAGTTGCAGTATAAACCACAGTTTGGCTCAGTGGGTGTTGAACAAACACAAATGTACCTGAGCGAGCGTCTGCAATAGTGATTGGCTAGCCGCCCTAATAGACGGGTGTCCTCGAATACGAGTGGCCAGCTATTATATATATATATATATATATATATATATATATATATATATATATATATATATATATATATAAGTAACTATACTCGTTTCGAAAACCTCGAATTTTTTGATTTGGCAATAATCAAATCAATCCTGTGGAAAAAGGTTTTAAAAAAGAAAGAGCTAGAAACATGGAAGTCTGTCGAAAAATCGTACAGATACAGGTTTAAAGCTCAAAGAAAAAAAAACCCGACACGAGTAAACAACTAACTAAAGAGTTCAATACAACAGTTGAGCAGACCTGTTAAACCTAGTGAGCCAGACAAACCTGGTGAAGGTTTCACTAAGCGTATCCTCAGGGAAAGCTGGCTTTCCTGACGATACGCTTAGGTGAAACCTGGGTAGGTTCGTCCGGCTCACTAGGTTTATATATATATATATATATATATATATATATATATTTAATATTAATCTTAATATGGCAATCACATATGGATGGTAAAGATTCTGTTCGGATAATTAAGAAGCTTTGAAAATTAGCGTTCGAAATTTGACTATTTTTTTTACTTTGGCTTGAACATTGGCTGACGTTGAAACTGTTCGAAATGCACCCCATTAACAGCGTAGGCTGATTAATGTTCATATATATAAATATATATATATATATATATATATATATATATATATATATATATATATATATATATATAATTATTTTAAAAAAATATGATTCCTTCGCTACATAAGAGTTGTCATGTTTCAAAAACAAGAGCCAAAAACTCATTTTAATTATTAAAGTTAAATTGAATTAAAGTATTTTTGAATTAAAGTATATTTTGAAACTTGAGAACTCTTATGTAGCGAAGGAATCATATTTTTAACAAATAATTATAATTAAAATTTAGGCTCTACTTTTTTGAGCACTGTTTTTTAAAAATAAAAGCAAAAATAAAGAACTTCGCATTATTTACCTAACGTGATCTTTCCTATTTTTCTATATATTTGCACAACTATATATATATATATATATATATATATATATATATATATATATATATATATAAAAGTCTATAATTTTGTTTTGTAATTTTGACATATTTATGTATTCTGCGAATTTTTTGCTAACCTTCTCTCGTTGTTGTCAATTAAATTTATATTATTTACAGTTGGCTTTCTCTTTTCTATTCCCCCATCTTGTATTCCTATATGCCCCTCCGCCAAGAGTTGTGTCCCTTTGATTCTGCATGCGTTCCTGATAAACAAATACGAATATTTTTTATCTCCTTTAACGAGAGTTCATCAATCATTTACATCAATCTGATGACATTCTTTAATTGTTGAAAAATATTTCTTCTGCCTTACTTCATACTTTGATGATTTTGCCCACTAAGTCTTCACATACTTCCTTCCTTTTCTTTAATTCTTTCCTTCTGTACTTATTTCACTTGTTAGTGTTTTTATCCTCAGCTTCGCTTTAAGAGTACGCCATTTTGTTCTTTGAATAATTTCGTCTTTTTCTCTTTGTAACTGTTTTTTTTTCTCAGTCTATTTCTCTACCTTTTGTTTAATCTTTTACCTTTTTCTTTGTCATGGAAAAAAATTCAGATTAAGTTTTTTTCCTGGCTTTCTTATTTGATGCTTTGTGTTTTTTTTTTAAATATTGTTATCAAAATTTTAATTTTTCACTGTTTTGCCGTGTTCGATAACACTTGCCAATCTTGCACTTGTCTCCAGTTTTTTAACCATCCTTCCTGTAATTCTCTTTTTATTCCAACTTTATTTGCTTATTCCGTTTTTAAGGTCCTCCTTTGCATAAGGAGTTGCAACATCTGCTTTTTCTCATTTTCTTTCTTAACAAACAAGCCTTACGCCATTCAAAGGCCAAACCTCAAATATTGTCTTTCTTATTTTTATTTTAATTTCATTTCGATTGCATTGGTCTCTCCTTTTGATAATATTTCAAGTTATTCTTCTTTTTTTTTTCTTCATTTCACTTTAGTTTTTTCTTTCTTATTTCAATCATTTATTCTCATTTATAGATTTAGATTTTTTTACTCGTTCTTTTGAATTCTTTCATTCTTTCTTTCTACTATTTTATTTCGGATATTTTTTCTTTGTTTTTCTTTATTTTTCTTTCTTTCTTTGTCTTTCCTTTTTTTTCTTCTCATATTTTCAAGTGTTTTTTTATTGTTTTTCTATTTCTTTCGTCCTTTCGTCAACTATTGTCCTAAGTGTCCTTTCTTTCTTTCTTTCTTTCTTATATTTTCACAGTTTTTTCTTTACTTTTCTATTTCTTTTTTTTCTTTTGCGAAATTATCTTTTTACCATTGTCCTAAACTTACTTTCTTTCTTCCTTTCTTTCTTTCTTCTCATATCTTCAATTTTTTTCATTGCTTTTCTATTTCTTTCTTCCTTTTGTATACTTATGTCCTAAGTGTTCTTTCTTTCTATATTTCTTTCTTTCTCGCCTGTTTTGTCCTTTTCCTCGGTATTTCCTATCTTATTAACCTCTTCCTATTTCTTTTCTTTTACTCTCTTTCTTTTAGCATTTCCTTCTTTTGTATTCAACTGATTTATATTTCCAACACATTTTCATCATCTGCTGACCGATCGCCTCATCCTCTCCCTTACAGAACGCCCCTCCTCCTCCTCCTCCTCCTCCGCCACCTCGTCGTTCTTCTCCTCCTCCTCCTCCTCCAATAATTCTATCTCCATTCATCATTTTCTCTTCTTTGGATTTAATATCAAATATGTTTTCAAAATCGAAGTCGTTGTTTTTTATTTGTTGGTTGGTTGAGAGTGTCTTTTTCATGACTCAGCGATTCTCGCCATTATTCTTCTGCTTGTTAATCATTTTATTTTTTTGTGTGTGTCTTCTTTAAATTTTTATACAGCGGTATTATTTTTCTTTCAATTTTCTTTGCAATTTGCATCAGTCAAGTTACATCTTCGGCGATTAAAAACTTCTATTGATATAATCTGACTTAACTTTTACATTTACATAAACGCTTAGGCTTTTACATGAACGTGTTAAGAAGACGAGGGCGTAAAATATAGAGATATAATTTCGGGAAAAGAAATATCAATTTATGAAATACGGGTTCGTCTGGGGACTAATAATGAAAATGGATATCTCTTACAAATCAGATATTTATTTTCAATAAAATCTCCTTGCCTGTCAATGCACTTAATTCAGCGGTGAATCACATAGGTCAAACACCATAGAATAAAACTTTACCAATTAAAATTCTAATAATAATTGCGTTTTACAGGCTATCTATCTATCTATCTATCTATCTATCTATCTATCTCAGTCTGTTCATATCTATCTATCTATCTATCTATCTATCTATCTATCTCTATGTCTCTGCCTTTCGATCTTTATATTTTACCTATCTCAATCTATTCATATATATCTATTTATTTTGTACATATCTATCAAGATAATTAGGTCATACCTATTTTTCTTTCTTACGTACATTGTTATTTTCTATCTCTCCTCTCTTTAAATATATATATATATATATATATATATATATATATATATATATACCTATCTAGATAATTAATTAATATCTGTTTTTATTTTCTCTTGCTTCTTTTACTTTATTTCTTTCTATCTTGTACAAATCTATCTCGATAAGTAATATCTATTTTTCTTTCTCACTTTCTTTTTTACTATGTATCTCTCTCTCTCTCTCTCTCTCTCTCTATATATATATATATATATATATATATATAAATTCTATATACCAATCTATATAATTAGTTAATATCTATTTTTCTTTTTCTCTTACTTATTTACTTTCTTTCTTTCTTTTTTTCTTTCTTTCTATCTTGTACACACTTATCTAGATAATTAATACCTATTTTTCCTTCTCATTTTCTTTTTTACTATCTATCTATCTATCTATCTATCTATCTATCTATCTATCTATCTATGCCAGTCTCTTCATATCTCTCTCTCTCTCTCTATCTATCTATATATATCTATCTATGCCAGTTTATTCATATCTCTCTATCTATCTATCTATCTATCTATCTATCTATCTATCTATCTATCTATCTATCTATCTATGCCAGTCTCTTCATATCTCTCTCTCTCTCTCTATATATATATATATATCTATGTCAGTCTCTTCATATCCATGACAGTCTATTCATATCTATCTATCTATCTATCTATCTATCTATCTATCTATCTATCTATCTATCTATCTATCTATCTATTAACTATTTCTCTATTTCCCTCTCTCTCTCTCTCTCTCTCTGACATTTGGAATATTCATCTATTTCTATCATGATCTATCTATCTATCTATCTATCTATCTATTGATAGATCAATCATGCTCAGCTAGCAGAGGTAAGGCACAGACATAACTCATGCAACAAGTAAAGGTTTTGTGTACATGTTTCTATATATCTGCATATAATATTGTGTTTAAACGTACATCTACACATAAGCGTACATAAACACACACTCCCATTCACTCACACACGCGCACAAGCAGTTAATTGTTGATTTTCATGTCAACATTTTTCTGAATAAAATGTACAATATTAAGAACTTTTTTATAAATATAGGAAATTTCAAACGTATATATATCCCAAAATCGTGAACGCCATCTTCATGCCGGAAGATGATATACAAGCATGAAACTGTTATATTAATATTTACACACGATAAATCCCTGATATTGAGCACTTTTATCTCTAAATATAGCATACAATAAACTGTATTTTTCTCATATATATATATATATATATATATATATATATATATATATATATATATATATATATATATATATATATATCTATATCTATCTATCTATATACATACATACATACACACATATATATATATATATATATATATATATATATATATATATATATATATATATATAGCAGAGATAGAGCGTGTGTGGCCTGACGATTGCGTCTAGCATGAAAAAACCTGTCGCCTCTAAGTGTTGACTTCAATGTACACTTGCGAGTGTGTGAATGTGAGTGTGTGTGCGGGAATGTTTGGGGGGGGGCTGCGTGTGTGCAAGTCTTTGTGTGTGTGACACAGAGAGAGTGTTTGTGTGTGTGTGTGACACAGAGAGAGTGTTTGTGTGTGTGTGTGACAGAGAGAGAGAGAGAGAGAGAGAGAGAGAGTGTGTGTGTTTGTGTGTGTGTGTGTGCGTGAGTGTGTGCGTGTGATTCTTTGTGTGTCTGTGTGAATGCGTCAGTTTTTTTTTGTGCGGGAGTGTATGCGCGCACGTGTGTATTATAAAAAGGGCATTTACTTAAATATTTGTATCTATAAAAAATAACGTATAAACATAAAAATGTCTTAAAATAATTGTTTGTCTTTTTCCATTTCATTATATATATATATATATATATATATATATATATATATATATATATATATATATATATATATATATATATATAAAGAGAGATAGACACAGATATATACAGATAGATAGCTTTGGTTTAATTTCAAGCTAATAGATTAAACTTAATATTTCAATGAGAAAAATACTTTGCTGTATTTCAAAACTAATTTAAATTGACTGGATGGACTTTTCGCCTATTTTTTCAAATTACGAAATTCGCTGAATTTTAGCTATCTGTCTGCACAATGTAATTCTCTTAATTAAAAAAAAATCTTTCAAAAATAAAATATATAAATTCTGAAAGTTTATTGGAGGAATATTAGATGATTTAAAGTTTAATTAATCTGATTAAAAACTTATTACTTACTTTTAGTTTAAAATATTGAAGGAATGCATTTTTTTTAACAGTAGTAGGTGTTTTAATTAAACCTTGACAGCTCTATTGACATCCGAAAATTTAAGTTCTTTATTTTAAGGGCGGTGATATATTTATAAAAATTACTTGACAAATATAACATGAGCGAATATTTTTATATAATTTTGACTACCCATTTATTTTGAAAATTTACCAAAATATTCTCCGTAATCTAATGTTTTTTGACTTTCAAGTACTGTAATTTTTTATGTATCAGATAATTTAAGAAGAATCTATGACAAACTGAAGGTTTTTTTTCGTGTGACGCGTTTTGTCCGTTCGGACTTGCTCGCACTAAAATGGCGTTTACGCTGATGTGATTACGCATGCGCATGAAGAAGAGAGGATATTAAAAGTTTAAATTTTAATTATGAACATTGTTTTTTTTTAAATATTCGGTTGGATGTATAATCTAACCTATTTCGTTTAGTTTCTTTTTCTTTATATTTTTATCACTTACTATTCTTCAATATCCCACATTATGAGAATAGAGGACCTGGACGGAAATTTACTGTAGATGATCTAGCAATTAAAGCATTTTTTTCTATACATTTTTAAGCTCAAAGTCGTCATATATATATATATATATATATATATATATATATATATATATATATATAATAATTATAATTTATAATAATTGAAAATAGAGCATTTACGTGAATAAATTGTATCTATAAAAATGACGTATGAACTAAAAGTATATTAAATAATTGTCGGCCTTAATCTATTTCATATATATATATATATATATATATATAAGTGAACATAGATGTCAACACTTAGAGGCGACAGTCTGTTTCATGCTATATGCAATCGTCAGGCCACGTGTACTGTTATTTTTCTCGGCTATTTATATATGTATACGGGTCAGTGGTGCATTGTGGGTAGTCTATTATGGCGGTTATTTTACTGGAAGATGTTTATTTATATATTTGGGTTAAATTATTTTGTTAGTTTTGTTTATTTTTATTTTTTGTTTCTTATTTTATTTATTTATTTTAATCGGTGCTTTTATTAACGTAGTAAAAATTTGTTTATATCACTTATTTAATAGTTTTGTTTTGGTTTGAGAATTTAATTAAAGCTATTTGTTCGGTTTTGGGGTTGATTGTTGTAGTTTATTCATTTATTATTCATTATTTTGGCAGGAACAGTTATTAATTTGTGTTTATTTGGGTTGATTATCTTTATTTGGTTTTTCTAACGGTAACTTTATCGGGGATTGGTTTGTTTATTTATTTACTTGGATGAATTTAGGCTAATTTATTTTACTTGTATATTTTCTCTTTTCGGTTTTCGATTTTTTATTAACGTATTTATTTATTTTTTTATTTTTTTACTTTATTTTATTTTTTTAATCGTTATATAACAGTTATAGCTATTTTTTTCGTCCGATATTTTGCTTTGATTTTTTAGTTTAACTAATATTTTGGTCATAATGGTTTGCTACTTTGTTTATTATTTACTTTATTTATTTGGGTTCATTGCATTTTTTTATTATTATTGTTATTCAATTTCGTCTATTCTAAGAGGTGTGATTTGGTAATTTGTTTGAATTAATTAATTTTGCTTATTTTATTTTTATTTTGTTTACTTGTTTATTTATTTTATTTTATTTTTTCCGTTTTCAATTTTTAAGTAACGTAGTAAAAATGTGTTTTCATGTCTGCATTTCGAGATGAACTCGGATCTTTTATTTAATAATTTATTTTGGTCCGGGAAGGTAATAATAGCTATTTTTTCCTCCAAGCAAAGTTTGCAAGTTTTGGATTGGTTGTTGTAGGCTGATGATCTTTTCCTTATTTTCCAAAACATTTTTGGTGTGATATGCATTTTGTTTTTAATTTCCCAGATACACGTAGAAAGTAAAAAAAAAATAAGCAAAATAAAAACTAGCAAAATAATTTAACCCAAATATATATAAACGACTTCCGGTAAAATAACCGCCATAATAGACTACCCACAATGCCCCACTGACCCGTATATATATAAATAGCCGAGAAACATAACAACACGCGTGGCCTGACGATTGCATATAGCATGAAACAGACTGTCGCCTCTAAGTGTTGACTTCTATGTTCACTTTTATATTTATATTTACACACGCTCTATCTCTGATATTAAGCACTTTATCCCACAAATATAGTACACCTTAAGACTATATTTCTTCATATATATATATATATATATATATATATATATATATATATATATATATATATATATATATATATATACAATGTCATCAAGAACAAAGCAGCATCAAACATTGTCAAGCTTCGTCAAAGTAGGGAAAGGAATAAAATATCTCATGCTGTTCCAGCCATACTCCAAGAATCCACACTCTTGCACAATCTGTGGACTTCTTTTTGCAAATCACTAGCAGCACTGAAAATGTCATTTGCGACTCACACAAGGTTAAATAAACAAAGTTGTCGGAACCTCATACGTCGAAACCGACGGGAGAGTCCATCATATATATATATATATATATATATATATATATATATATATATATATATATATATGTTTGAAATGTTTTAAGTCCGACAATTATCTAATATATTTTCTATTGATACGTTATTTTTATAGATATTATTTATTTAAGTCATTTTCTTAATTAAATTATAACTATAGAAATAACGTATAAACAGAAAATAAATTAAATAATTATCGGACTTAATCCATTTCCATAATATGTTGTCATTGTTTACGTTAAGATACGTTCCGTGAGCCGAAATGATCGCTGGAGAAAAATCGTCGAAGGTGTGTGTTCATAAACAGCAATTCGAACCCGACGCTTCTCTATGGTTGCCTGGTTAACGTTAAGCCCTTCAGTTCAAATGACGTTTCCCCAGAAACGTCAATTCATGTCGGAAAGCGGATATTTTGTACGAAATTTGTCTAACATTCAGGCCAGTAAATGTTATACGGTTTAGTTATAAAAACAGAACATTTACTTTTACAAATTATATCTATAAAAATAACGTATACATAGAAAATATATAGTTTGTCTGACGATCGCTAAAGCGCGAAACCCTGGGTCACAAACTCACATCTATCCAACCAAATATATATATATATATATATATATATATATATATATGTGTGTGAATAGCCACCGAAACCGTGATATCACCCTGGTCTGCGGCTGATTAAGACAGGGTATCGTACGTGCTAACACGTTGTATATATGTTAAATATATATATATATATATATATATATATATATATATATATATATATATATATAAATAGACAGAGTCCGACAATTATTTTTAAGACATTTTTATGTTATACGTTCTTTTTATAGATACAAGTATTTAAGTAAATGGTCTGTTTTATAATAAACAGTATTAAACAACATTTACCGGCTTGAATGTCCGAGAAATTTTCGGAGGACGAATATTTTCTATGAAAATTTCTCGACATCCAGTCCAGTAAATGTTGTTTAATACTGTTTAT